CAAACTGTAGAGACGAAAAATAGATACCTGTTTGTAACATGAATTAGCATTTTAATTACTTGACAAATGATGTTTCAAACTTGAAGTGCATATCATATACTACATGGCATTAGTTTAATTTATTTTCATAATTAGGAACCAAATAATTACTTTGTTGGGATTAACTAGTCAGCTCTCAAATTATGTATGCATTTGTATCACCTTTATATAAATTATTAAATAATATTCAAATGTCTACTTTTAAGTATACTAATTATTTTTATTCAAAGTTTAGGTAACCTAAAACTAGAAAGTCTCCATGATTTAGGATTTCCTTCTTTCTTATTTATAGGTATTATGGTTACTCTTTGGGCAACAACTATACCTCTTTAAATATGTTATGATACGAAATACTAACAAAAATATTAACTGTATATTTTTTTTAATATATCTGATATTATAGGAAATATATTTAATTTATTTATTATTGTAAATTGGTCGTAGACAAATTTTAAGAGGTTTAAAACTTTAAAACCTACTCCACTCATCAAAGAGTTTTTATTTCATGTAGTTCATGGTGATATGATGATATATTATGTGATTCCAAATTTCTTGATTAATACTTATATATTTTTTAAAATCATGATAATACACAACTCAACCTTAAGTTGATTTCCATGTAAAGGATAAGTTTAAAAAGTCGTATGCATCATGTTAGTATAATTCTCATTACACGATCTCTAAGCATCCAAATGGATATTTGAGCATTCTCAACAATCATGATAGTATAATAATCACACATTATTTATGAAGGAACAAATGATTTGCATCTACACAATCATGATTTTCAAAGACAATATGAGATGAACAAGATGAATAATAATGAAATTATAGACAAAAATGTATGGTAGATTCCAAACTACCATCAATAAACATTAGAACTGTAGAGTACATTACTCCAAAGTCCAACACAATGTGAAGATCTTGAACAAATTATTAAGAGTGGGAAAACTAAAGACAACAACCATAGTTATAGTTAGTGTCGCAACCAGGATTGCGACGGGATGACGAGCCGAAAAACAAACGAGATTAAGAAAATATTTTGGAAGTTGCCACCATAATTTATTATGGAAAAACTATGGAAAACCAAAAAATAAAACATGGTCTGCGAAAACTAGATTTTAAGTTTGGGAATCGGTATGTTAGCACCCTATTGCGTCTGCCCAAAGGCAGTACCTTTAATTAAATGTATAAAGTTGACGTGGTTTTTTCAAAATGTTTAATCTTCCGTAAAAAATATAATATAAAGAAACTATTAAGAAACAAATTATGAACCCGACAAGGATTGACCTTGCTCCTATGTATATCCATTTATGATGGACAATCAGGGATCGCATAGTTCTTTATGTAGAAAAAGGTTTGTGAGTTTGTTTGAAAATCATTATGGATTGATTTAGATTTTTGAAAAGCGAACCCGACAAAGATTTGGTTTAACAAGATTGACATTTTTTTGGTTTTAAAGATCTTGTATTTTTTTTTATTTAAGAATGGTGGGAAATGGAAAGAAACCGGCCATAAGCCGCCACATACTTATAAAATTTAAAAAACATTATTTGTGTGTAAGAAAAATAATACCTTTACGAAAAACTTCAGAGTACAATAAAAAAAGAAAAAGAATGGTGTAGAGGTGACATACCTTTTCAGCTTTCAGTACTCTCAGTATTTCTTCTTTGATGATTGTCGTTGAGAGAATCCTTATGGGTGAGAACCTATTTTTTTCTATACTCTCTTTCTCTCTTTTTATTATTTATGCATGTTTCTCCTTCTCTCTTTTTTCGTCCCCTTTTTCATGACAGTGTCCGTATTTATATACACACATTGTAATATTATGGTAATTTTGCCCTTAATTGTGAATTAATTGACAACGAACAAAATAGGGAAAGAAAATGTCTTGGTTCCAACAAAAAGAAATCAAATAATATTCAAGAAATTGATTATAATTATTTTCAGAAAATTTGTCCATTTTTAAAATCATTTTTTCCTCTTTAAGAGCAACTGACACAGCAAATTATATATAATTATAATATTGATTCAAATTATTATTATATTAAACTAACATTTCAAAAATATTATGTTTGATATTATAGTTATTATTTTATCCTTTTTACCCACCATTAATTATTATTCTCTTATTTTTTATTTTTATTTATTTACTTACTCGGACGAAATTGGGTGTTGACAGTTAGAAATATCAACACAATGATACTTGATCATTTCTTGAAACCTTATGAGTCCATGAAGCCCATAAGAAGAGATATAAAATATTCAAGCTCTTTCACGTAAGTAAACATTTCGCATCCTATATAAAGATTGAAAATTCTTGCAATACTTTGAAAGTACAAGAATTTAGAACCAAAGAGATATTTGAAAAGATATCTAAAAAGATTTAGAATATGATATAACATTGAAGACCAAGAAATTAAGGAAAATTTTTAAATCAAATTAATTCAGAACCATCAATTTACTCAGATTAGATACGTAGAAAATTATTAAAAGAATTAGAAATTCGTTCAAAATATTTAACAAATTAGATTTCTTTTACACAAAGAACTTTCTTGTTGTTGATGGATGTTAAGAAGTCGACTTTAAGCCTAATTAAAATCCATGGTGAGGTTTGCACCCATTTATATACAATGAATTGACATTATTTTTAGTAGAAACGAGATTTCCAACAAAATAAAATACTCCTAATAATTATTTTCCATGATACTTTGTTTTGTTTGTTTATGTTGATTTCAAATATACAAATGTATTTGAAACGTATAGGAATTCAAATTAAGATAATGAAATTTCATTAATATGTATCACTATATTACTTCACTGCTTCAAAACTTTGAGAAAAATGCGTACTTGTCTTAAATCTATAAATTTAACCACAATTATTATTACTACTGAGAAGTGTCAATCATCCTATTGAAAGAAAAAGATTCTAATAATAAGAATCAATCAAGTATAAGTTGTCGGTTCTATATAACACTGATGTCATTTTGGTTCCACAATTATTACTAGTGGACAAATCTCGAGAGAAAATACTCAAGATATTATAAGGATATATGCTCACTATTCAACCAATAAGTAACATGTAAATTTAGTTTTTATCCTAAGTTAACGGTAGAATCTCTCATACATCAAATAAGATATTAAATATAGGAACAATTCAAATATAAGTTTAAATCTCACTTTCTTTATTAAAAACAAATAAATAAAATATTATATAAAAATAAAGAACCACTGTTTTAAAATTTTAAATATAGAGTGATGTGAATTTTTATATGACTAAATTTAAATTTTATTAATGTTATGTTTTCCGGTCAACTTCGAGTACATAAACCTTTTTCTTAAACGAATATAATATAATATAATAAACCATAAAAGGAAAAACCAAAGAATTATGTGGTTCAAGTGAATCGGGTGACGAATGTTTAGAATATGCAAAGAAAACATATGCTGCATGCAGATTCCAGTAGTGCTTAAGTGTTTGAAAAGGGAATAAATAATGATAAAGAAAATTTCCACTAACTCAAACAATTTTTAGTAAACTCATATTATATAGAAGAATGAAAATGAGGTATTAGAACATTTGAAGAGCATATCTATGATGGAGTGGAGTGAATAAAATATTTATGATTTCAAAAGTTTAAACGAATTTGTTATAATTTTTTAAATTAGGTTAACCTCTTTTTCTAGTCTAGAATCTATACTAAAAAAGGAAAATTCATTTGTAGTTGATTTTTTATGTAAGCAAATTCTCAACACTTCTCAGTAACTGTTATATGTATTTTTTCTCTCTCTTTCTCAAAATAACCTTACTTTACTAACACACAGACGATAACATCTTTGTATATGTATTTTTAGATATTTATAAATTATTTAAATTTTAAAAATGGTAATTAAATGGATAAAATTGAAAAAATAAAATATGTATATAATTATAAATACATAATTATAGACTAACGTAGACGCAGAACCTATATGTTCACATTTTCTATTAAATATTTATAATATTATGTTAATAGATAATAATAGTGTAATTTAATTAAGTTAATTTTCATATAAATTTATATTTATTCTAAGCAAAGTGTAATATTTATTTATATACATACATATATTTTTGAAAAAGGAAATATATTAATTTTGTTAATAAAGAAATAATATATTATAAATATATTTATAAATAACATAATATTTAGTTATTGAAATAAAAATATTATAAGTAATATTATATGAATAATTTTTTTTATTATAAGTAATTATTTAAATTTTAAAAAATAGTTAGTAAAATGATAAAATAATTATTTTATTATGAGTAATTATTTGAATTCAAAAAAATAGTTAGTAAAATAATAAAACTGAAAAATAATTTTTTTATTATAAATAACTATTTAAATTTAAAAAATAATAATTTAGAGATAAAATTAAAAAAACAGAAAAGACATAAAAAAAAAGTCTATCTCTTTATATATAGTCATATACATTAGTATATGGGTAAGCACGTGTGTCTATTAGTCTAGAATAATGATGTTGGTAATTGTAAAGAGGTCGGGAGAATTATAAAAACTAGAAAAAGGTATCGAATATAAAGTTATATATTTGAAAAAATAAATAATCTAAGATGGACGTGTAATCTTTTTAATCTAATCTTATAATCCACAAACTAAATGGATGGATTGAATCCAATACATAGTTGAGAAACTTTCATGTTATCTAATTTTAATATGTTTCTTTTTATATCAATTTTTTTTTTATTACCTGTCTTGAAATAACTTTTTTAAAATATACTTTTTTATATCTTAGAAAGTCTATTTCAAAATAAATTATATTTCATCCAAAAAATTATGTAGTATAGGAAGTTTAACAGCCCCAAATTAATATGCTTCATTTAAACGAACTGGCCACAAGTCTAAAAGCATATGAACTTGTGCTGAAAAATGTTGTTTAAAAAATATAAATCATATCAATTAAAAGCATAACTTTGATTAAAAATCATATGAATTAAATATTTGTATCTGATAACGATGGTGAACATAGCAGAGTAGCATGTGAAAATGGTCAAAATTCTAGTTTCTCACTTGCTTTAGCAGAGGCCAGAGGAAACAAAATAAGCAATTCTGGGTCACTGTAACCTGGTTTTGCACGTGGTGATGGATGCAGATAAAATCTCCTTTCTTTGATGGCTTTCTCTTCTTCTTCTGTGTTCAATTCAGGCATCGTTGACTCTTCTTTCTTTTCACTTTCCATAATGGTCAAATGGGACAACAAGGTTGAAGGGGTGGTGGGGCTTTGAAGAAGGCTTGAACTTCCTGATCCAGGACTTGGAGGAAAGCTAGAACTTCTTGACTTGGAGGGTGAAGAACATGCACCTGTTTTCAAATGCAAAACGGGTTTCACAATCTCCAGTTTTGGCTTCATGGATTTCCTTCTTTCATGGAGTTTTGAGGTTGTCCTTTTCGTGGTCGAAACCTTTGCAGACTCTCCTACTTTTGCTGCACTTGCTTCTGGGGGACCTGTCAAACGTTGTACCACTTCCCTGAATGCATCTGAGTTTGTCTGAACAAAGGTGGTTAGTGGCTTGCAATCTGATGCTGCACCATGGACAGTTGGCTTCTCCATTCTCATCACTACATTTTGACAATGAGAATTACAATCACTTAGCATATTATCACCTGCAATATCCATGACTAATGATTAAATTAAGAAAGATTCATGTATGCACTTTTCACCCTCATTCAGTCACTGCGTTGTTATGTGTGGTAAGTTTGTTCCCTTCTAAAAATAATTTTCTCAGAAGTCATAGTAATGATGATGTCTGATTAATCACATATATGCCTCTTATATCATACCATAAAGTTTAAGGAAACTTGGATTCAACAGAAGGTGGAAATCAGATACAAAATTATTCATGGCATAACACATGAAACTGGCAATTACCGTTCATATGGGACGGTGTGATCGGTAGTTATTTCCTGAACCAAAGTAAGAATGAAAACTACTTGAGAAAAGAGTTCTATTTTTTGAGAAAATATGATATGATTTGAGATCCAGGGATGGACATGTTGTAGCTGAGGGCTGTGAAAATATGCAGACTTAAATTATTGATGATTCAATGGTGACCCACATGGCCTTTGAGAATGAAAAAACCAAATGTTTTCTGTTCTGTCGAAAGCATGTCATATCAAATAATTCTGGGAATGGGATAAGGTTAACGAGTTAAAGAAGATTTCTTAGGAGCTGTGTCCATAAACACGGGACATGTATGTGAAACTCCATAACATACAAATGTCCCTCAATAATGTTTTAGGTCGAGGGTTGGCATTTATTGAATCAACCCTCAAAAGCATCGTGAATTGTGTTTTTCTTATAATAGCATGTGGATCAGATTTTGCAGCTCAAAACACTTTATGCCTAACTGTCAATTACCTGGTTTACCTGTTACTCATTGACTATTAAGGTCTTAGAATTGGACTTCCCTGTTTTGTTTTTCTTTCCTCTCATTTATTGACTGAAATTGATAACTCACAAATTTAGCCAGAGAGCACAGACTAACTTAACATTTTTTTTAACTCACAATAATGTTCTTTTGATGTTTTCTATATGGATCCAGCTTGAAAAAAGGCATTCCATAAAACTTCACGGTCCTATTCACTTTGGTTTGAGCATGCACTAAAAAATGAATGAATACAAAGCTCAACTTGTTGTTCTCTACACTAAATTCTTATTTTGATTAGAGAACACTGTCTCAAGAATCAAATTTCCTGATACTGTGTAAGTTTTCTGACACGACTTCGATATTAGATTCTGATGAATGAAATAGAAACTAACACAAACCAGCAATGGACAATAATAGTAAGTAACTTTGTTTATATTTTGTGGTATTGAAGGGAAACAATGAGCATTGTTATCTATGCAATATAATTTCCCACCACAATGTAAAGAATCACACCAATCGAAACTCCTAAAAGTTATAACAAATAACAAAGCTTTCATGAATCAAAACCATATGATGAAACAACAAATGTCAAACTTGAAGAAATCCATAATCAAGAAACTAGGAAAGTGCAAATAACGAAAACATGTTGTAGCCTACCTAAGGTGGTTTGATGGTGGTGCGTTGTTGTGTCTTAATGTGCAGAGAAGAAAATGAGATGAGAAAGAAAGGAAAAGGAAGAGGAAGAATAAAAAGTGTGAAAGAGAGAGGAATTGGAAGAGAGTGTAGTTAAAGATTTCTGGTACAAAGGTTGGAAACCAGTTGAGACAGAGAATCTCTGACCTCAGAAAAGTAGTCATAGCATTAGCTTTGCCACATCAACTACTTGTTGTAAAGGGCAATCTACCCTATCACTTTCCTTCTAGTTACTGCCAAAAATGGATTATCTTAACTCAAATTCATACAAAAAACAATGATTCTTAAGAGAGACAACTTGAATATTTTTACCTTTTTTAAGATAGCTGTCGTATACAAACCGATAACCATAATCTGTCTACAACCATTTATTTTGTCATGTTATCTGCCATATTCATCTTAAAATGGTTAAAACCTACCAAACCACAACTACGTTAAAATAAAATTATGAAAGAATAAATTCAATTTCTTGCTGTAATTTGAAAATGCCATCACATTATATTGTTTCGGTGTTCAATATTCTTACCAAAATATCCTTAAGTAAAAATGTATTAATATAACCCTAATAATTATGCAAATTGGTTATAAATTTAATAACTGTATCTAAGTTTTTTAATTTTTATAAGATGGTTAAAAGGGTCTTGTGAATTTTCTTACACGAGGAACTTGCTTCTCCAGGGAAAAACACAACAACAAACATAAATATTAACTGATGAAAAAGAAAGGCAATATTTATTACATTGTTGAATACAATCTTTAGAAGATGTTCATTAATAGGTCATGAATCAACAATATGAGAGCTTGATGTTCTTAAATTTTTGGATTTTTCTTATTTATATAATACCTAACTCATTTATGTATAATGTAAGACATTTTATTTCCATCCTAAAAGCCATCGATAACCTAAGTCCACTTCATCTAAATTTGGTGTTATACATAAAATCAATCACATGAAAAAGTTATAATCATTAGTGCTAGATGATAGTGCACAATCACATATATTCATATTTTATTGTACATTTAAAATATTTTTAGCATATTCCATTTTCTGTTTTTTTTTTTTAATTATAATAGATTGGGATCAATATACATAATTGTTTTAATTTTGTTATTTCTTTGTTAATTTGACATTTGTGTATTTTTTCTCATAACCTTTTGTATATATTATTTTCTTATTCTAGTTACAATAAATTATAAATTTTTAAAATAACTCTGTAATTTTTATTTCTCATTTTAAAAACTAAATTAAATTTTGATTTAATATTTAGATATAAATTAAATTAAAAATATTTTGGTTTAATTCATATTTATCTGATTACACAATGTTTACTCAATTTAATTAAATAATTGAATTGATTAATCGTTGAAACTTAAATATGAATTTTAGAGCATCATTGTATTTCTTTTCTTAAATTTATGAATTAATCTTTCATTTTTCAATCCTTCTCATTTCTTTAATCTGATTCTTTCCTCTATCTTTTAAATTTTCAAATTAATTTGTACAGAAAAAATATTAAAGATTATATATAATAAATATATACCATTTTGACCTGAGTGTGTTCAGTGTTAGAGAAAATTTAAATAAGACATTGAAAATCAGAAACAAAGAACAGAGAATATGCATGTCATTTGTATTTAGAGAGCTCTCTGTCTCCAGGCATATCCTTATCTTCAAGAACTAAGTTTCTTATTTATGGCTCTTCCTTCTTCAACTCAGAACAATCTCTGTAACCATTTATCTTTTGTTTACTTTTCTGTATTTATCTTTTTTTTTCTGCAATGTGCAACACCTATCATCAGATACCATTGAACTTGGTTTCTTGGTGAGAAAATGAATACTTTTCCATGAGCTTAGATAGTCCCTCATTAAAACTTTCCTCCAACTGCACCTTTTCCTCCCAATGCCTCCTTATCATTGCAGCAACACTCTCTTTATGAGCTTTTCGCAGTTTCTCCTCTTCAGCAACAAAATTTTCCATTTCTTTATCTTGAAACTCAACAAATTTTAGATATTCATCAACCCTATCATCCAAAGGGCTACAACTTAATGGCTTCAGCTTCTCACGTTTCTCCTGATCTGCTCCTTGAAAAATTGTTCTTGCATGTACATCTTTCATTCACAAAAAGTATCCAACCGTCAGAAGATACCAAGAAGAAAAGAAGAAACATTTCATAAGCTAGAAAAGAAAACAGCAAAATGCAATTTTGACATCAATCTAAATGAACCATCAAAGAGTTTGTCAGTGCCAACAGTTAGCAATAGTATTATTACCTCTTCCTTGTTCTCTTCGTCTTGCATTTTAGTTCTCAACCTCACTATGCGATTTTCCTCCATTGTCCTTCGCAGCTTCTCAGTCACTATATCCAAGGATTCTTCAAGAGCTTTTGTTTGTTTTTGTTTTCTGACATCCCTGTCCTTCAAATAAACAAGTAGCTGGTTGTCCTCACTCATTTGCCGAAGTTGGTTTACGACCATCTCCTGGTATGATCTCATGTCATATTTCATCCTAGATTTACCTGAACACAATTTTGGATAAAAGGAGACCCCAAATAAAAGTCAACATGCTGTCTCCATAAGACATCAAAAACCAGAAAAAGATGAAGGAAAAGAACTGAAAAAGACACATTGGCAGTGTCTGTTGAAAATGTCTAGGTCTTCTTTTATTGCCATGTAGCCATAGAGCTGTCTCCGGCCACTAGGGAGAAATAATCTACGGTGGTGGCTAAACCAAGCATCTCTGTGAGTTCCTTGTTCTGCAAAGTGTTTGTGAAGACGTTGCACACTCAAATATTTTCCTTGAGTCTTATTCTTAGTTATAATTGAAGTACATAACACTTACGAGGAATAAAAATAAAATATTAATTATCTTAAAAATAAAATCTGTTTAATCTATCATAAAATAATATTGTACTTAGATAAACCGAAAATCATAACTACTTATCCCTATTTTATCTCTATCAAATCAAACTAAATATTACTATACCCAGAAACTAATAAAATAATATTTAAACAAAGTTATTAATAAAACCCTAAAATTTAAGTTTATCCCAACGAACTCTCCCATAAACTTAAATTCTTTCTTCCTTCCTTCGACTTTCCATGTGCATCATTCTTTCTTCCTTCCTTCGACTTTCCATGTGCATCATCCTACTCCGGATTTGCTTCTTTCAATCAAATTTGAGTTCTTCTTTTTCCGTATTGCCCTCCTATCTTTTACCTTGGTTGACCTCTTTAATGCTTTGACTGACTTTGTTATGTCCGACTTCTCAATAACCTTAACCAACTCGTTCCTGACCTTAGGCGATTTCTCAACCATCTCTGCCGAGTCCTTCATTGGGTTCTTCTCAACATCTTCATCTTCCTCTTCGTCTGGTTCAAGAACACTAAATACTTCCTCTTCCTTTTCAAGAGTCACCTTCTTCAGCTCCTCAAGCTCAACCCTCTGTTTATTCATAATTTCATTAGCTTCCTCTAGAAGTCTCCCTATCCGCTGAATCTCTTCATCCTTTTGTTTGAGTTCTTTCTCCAGGTTTTCCTTCTTCACAATTGTTGCATCCTTTACTAAGATCACTTCATCCATTGTTGGGATTGGGCTCTCCATTAAAATTGCATCTGAACTCTTTCCCATCAATAGGATTTCACACTCTTCTTCAACATCTTCAGTAACGAGATTCGTCTCCCCCTTTATCTCGGTCTTGCAATACTTTGCAATATGACCAAACTTGCCACAGTTGTAGCACTTTGTTGACCTACACTCGTTTGCATAGTGGTCGTACTTGCCACCCTTAAACCACTCCACTCTTGACTGATCTCCT